TGAAGACGATGATGAAGAATATTATTATGATGATGATGATTATGATGACGACGACGATGATGAATATTATACCGAGACATATGACAAAGATGCGAAAAGTAAGAAGTAGATTGCCTTATTCAGTAGATTGCCTTATTCATGCTTTACTGGTAAGAATTCCAATCAGAAACGTGCCTTGATGATTACTTGTTTTGGGTGCTTTTGTAAAGTGCTGTATAATGGTCGTGGCAAGTAAAGTTTGTTGCTTGGTTTTGCTGTAGGGAGTCTGGATTTGAGTCTTGTTTTTTGTAATTTTATTGCTTTTCTATCAAGTGAGCTTGGTTCCAGTTGAAACTTTCTAGTCTTCGTGTTTAGTTTGTTGAATGCTAGAGATCGTCATTCACTCCGAACCTAATGCTGCTGTACATGAAAAGGTTGTAGTGTTAGGCTTCCCTAATCTAACTATTCCTAATATTGTTCAACAGTAAGTATGAAATCTGGCTAATATGTCTGAACCATTATTAACAAGCATGTTGTTTACTGCATGTAACCTAAATGATTCTTGATTCCTTAAAAACAATAACCCAATATTGGTTTTAAAAGAACTATGGATATAAAATTCCGAAACATCGAAGGTAATTCAGGTGTACCAAGGAAGAGAAAGTAGAGGATCGTGATCATATAGCCTTCGAGTTCTTGGTCCCTTCAGCTAGATTGGCCTTTCGATATGTGTGTGTAAATAACAGATCTAATACGGGATTTGACCCGACTTTGAGCTAGACTGGCCTGAATTTGATAAAAAAGTAATATTTATCAGATCTAAATATCAAATCCAATCTAAGGTCATGATCGTCAGTTAGTTAGCCAGCTCAACTCTAAAACATAAAACAATATTATCTCACTATGTTTTTTTAATGAAGCATTGTTCTGGACAAAAATTAAAAAGAAAAATTCTTACTCATGAGTTGAACTTGATCACTTGATAAGGTAAACATCTATCCTAGTTAAAAAGGTAAAAAACTGGAAGACTACATTCCAATATAATATAATATTCAATGCATGCGAAGAAAGATCATGAAAATCTCCACAAATATTTAATCAATCCGACAGTGAAACCTACGTGCACAGTTGTAAACTGCTGAGCGGAGATAGTAAACTAGGAACTAAGACAGCGGAGGCACATAATGTCCTCATAATTGTGAGTTGACTATGCTAACTGTAAGAGAGAACTCAATTTTAATAAATGAAATCCTTTGGATCTAATTTCCTATTACTTACAATGTCGACATTCCTCCAACACTTTAGACTTGTCCATTCATAAACATCTCTTTCGAAAACACAAAGTCTACAACAAACATTAATTTCTTACATTTTTTTAATTTTTAATTAGGAAAATATATATAGATGGGAAAATAATTGAGTTTTTGATATAAGGATATATAATTGAGAAATGGCGTCATGTACATCATTATATTAATATATTTAAGCCTTAATTGGATGCTTCTTTTGACAAATAGAGCATTGGATGTCCTCGTTATTTCTTCACTGTTTAACACCATCACTATTAGTTCACAGAATTAGTCAGTCGCCTAACCACCTGTCATAGTTCTTAATTATGTGATCATTAGAGCAAGACAATTACTTGTTTAACCCTACAATCCTCATCAATTCACTCACCCTACCACACCAAACAAAGTATATCTGAATACCCTTTTGGTAATTTAGCTCCCTCCATGTAAATACTTGTCCTAATTTAAAAAAAAAAAACGAAAATTCATGATGCCATCCGAATAGTGTACAGCAACTTATAAAGAGGGGATCGCATTTCTCTGTATAAATCAAAGTACAACAGCAATATTTTCACACAGAATCTGCCTCAAGAACTGCCTGCCTAGATCTTCGATCCCTTTTCCTTCACTTTGCTAACAAATTTTCTCTTGATCCCATCACCATGCAGAATTTTATCAAATTTTATCTAACCTTCCTTTGCTTGCTTTTACTCCTCCCTACTCTTGCTTTAGCAGAATGCACATGTGATGCAGAAGGAGGAGAAGGAAAAAATAAATCTGAGGCCTTGAAATACAAAGCCGTAGCAATTGCTTCTATCCTTTTTGCAGGTGCAGTTGGAGTTTGTCTTCCAATTCTTGGAAAAACTATCCCCGTATTAAGCCCTGAAAAGAATATTTTCTTCATCATCAAAGCTTTTGCAGCCGGTGTTATATTGTCGACAGGCTTTATTCATGTGCTTCCTGATGCTTTTGATAGCTTGACATCGCCATGCCTTAGTGAAAATCCTTGGGGTAAGTTTCCCTTCACGGGGTTTGTGACAATGATGTCGGCAATCGGGACTTTAATGGTGGATTGTCTTGCAAGTTCTTATTTTACTAGGTTGCACCTGAACAAGGCTCAACCAGAGGAGAGTAGGGACGAGGAGAAGGCAGCAGTAGAGGCTCATGAGGGTCATGTTCATACTCATGCAACTCATGGCCATTCTCATGGCTTAGTGGATAGTTCTGGTTCTGGTCCATCTCAGCTTATTCGCCATCGGGTTATCACACAGGTAATTGTTTCTCTCTTATGTTACAAAGGAGAGGCTCAAACCTAACAACTCTTAGAGGAGAGGACATGCATGCACTTGTCATTGTTATTTTTTTCTTCTTCTTAATTTAAAGATTTACTACACTGTAGGATACTTAATTTATGTTTGTGTTTTTCTTAGGTTTTGGAGTTGGGAATTGTGGTGCACTCGGTGATTATAGGAGTTTCTTTAGGAGCTTCTGAAAGTCCCAAGACAATAAGACCTCTAGTGGCTGCCCTAAGCTTTCACCAATTTTTTGAGGGTATGGGACTTGGTGGATGCATTACTCAGGTAAAGGCATAGCCTTGTTTCTAACAATATATGCTACCTATTTTTTTTTTTAAATAGTCTAAAATTGAATATTTTCTCTAAATATGTGTCAATTGATACACTTGTATTTATGTTTCTAGGCGAAATTCAAGACCAAAACTATTGTGATAATGGCACTCTTCTTCTCTCTAACAACCCCAGTTGGCATTGCAATTGGCATAGGCATAACAAATGTCTATAATGAGAGCAGTCCTAATGCTCTTATTGTCGAAGGAATTTTCAATGCTGCATCAGCTGGTATCCTAATCTACATGGCACTTGTGGATCTTCTGGCAGCTGATTTTATGCATCCAAAAGTGCAAGCTAATGGAGCACTTCAATTTGGGGTTAATGTTTCTCTTCTTCTGGGAGTTGGTTGTATGTCTCTCCTCGCCAAATGGGCTTGAAGCTTTAGCTATCTAGAGTCCTTTTTCTCTTGTTTTTTCTTGAAAATCTTTTGTCCTGATATGATTGACTTTATTAACTTTTGGTTGATGAAGATAGAGAAAGCCATTTTGCCGTCCAATTTCTTGGTGTTGTAAATGTCATCTCTTTCATTCGTTTCATTGTCTTGGATTTAAAAATTGGCCAATTTTCATAATTAAAAGAGTTGTGTGAAGTCTGTATGTGATGGCAATACACTTTTTTTTTTAATTTCGTTTTCACCTTTTATTTTCTTGACAAGTCTACATTTTTGGCTCTTCGGTGGCCTCAAACTGCATGCGTAATATAATGATATAAATGGGAGAAGACCACCCTTTAGTATAATAGAATGTTTATTTTATCTAAAATTATCACTATGACTTAAATCTCTCCAAAATTAGTCTAATTGGAAGCTCATAAAAATGAAAAATAAAGACTCTTGTATGAGCCACCTGTATGCGTTATTATCAAGACTAATCTGCCTAATAATGATTTTGATAAGATTGATCAGGTTTTACACAGTGAACTCTCAAACTTGGATCGATATAAAACATGAAATGGGCTAGAATTCTATTCGGAAGATCACTGAATTGATCAGCAAGGTCAGGTCATGTTTTATAACAATGGTTTTTACTTCCCACTCAACAAACGAACCACCTGCATGCGTTGTTATCAGGACTAGGATCTTGCTCTCATCGGTAATTGTTCAGTGGTAGAAAATTTAGGCATCATAAGTGTTCGTCCATTTGAAAGAAACAGAACAAACATCCAAATCTATGTTTAGTAGACATATTGGACTGCATTGTTAGATTTACCTGGCCAGGTCAAAATCTGAAGCTTCCTTGGGCTGGAATAACAACATCAGCAATTTTGTTGTCACTTCTTGATCAAATACAGACACAGCAGATCACAGGATGCTGCAGGTAGACAAACAGATCAAAAGATTTTGAGAAACGTGTGAATGAATACAATATCCCTGTCCTCATACCTTCTCCTCTAGACTAACAGTAGCAGTGCTGCATCATTGTTTCGCATTTTCTATGAACATATCAGAAGTCCGTGAAGTTGATTGTTTTTAACCAAAATCTATACAAAAAACAGGTTAAAATATTACATCAGACCAATATATCAGAGGTTCTGATTGAATTTGTCGCCGAGTATAGATCCCTATTATGCAAGCTGATCGGGGAGATTATTCACACGATATGTATTGAGATAACTGATCAGATGTCTGGCATTGCTTCTCTCCTTTTTTTCAAGAAGCCAATAGAAAAAAAGATGAATAAAATTTCAGCCATAGATAATTGCAAAACACCAATTATATGGTACACATTTATTAGAGAGAAATTAATAGGGAAATATCATCATCCATTGGTATTATTATTGAAATTAATTTATCTAGGCAGCGAATAGTTATTCTTCTAGGATAAAAAGAGACGAGAAAGAGACAATATGTTCATCTATCCTTCTCTTTTTATATGATATAATTTATTTGAAAATTATTATAAAAATAAATTTATTTTTATATTTTTATTTCTGATCCTTCAACTAAACATGTTGTTATCTTTTTTTCTTTTTTTTTATTTGGAGATATTAACCAAACACAACTTCAAATTACACTTAATTTCAGAGGACTATTGTCCAAAATACAGGGAAAAGAACAAAAAAAACCTCTGGTAAGAGGACCTAATATAATGTTGCAGCAGAAGAACTAGCTCATCAAATTGTCAATAAAATGACCAAATGAAGTGTGTGAAGATCCACTTTCCATCAAGGCTTTCTTGCTCTTTTCACTCATCTCTTTCACCTTTCTCTTTATTTCACTATTACTCTGCATCAAACTATTTATACCTCTTTCTATCTCCTCAGCAGTCACCATTTTAACTTCATCATCACTCAAAAAATCCTTCCTATAATCTAATTTAATTTCCACACCTAATCCTAACTCAACCACCATTTGAAAGGCATTTAATTGTTGCTCCCCATCTATTGGCCAGGCAGCAATTGGCACACCAAACCATAGGCTTTCTAGTATAGAATTCCATCCACAATGCGATACAAATCCTCCAACTGCTGGATGAGCCAAGATGTCTGTTTGTGGAGCCCATCCAATGATTTTTCCAAGCATAGACGTTCGATCCAAGAATCCATCCGTCAATATTTCCTTTGGATTATCATAACCACTAGGGAATACAATCGTACCCTTTGGTGGAGCTCGACGTAGGGACCATAAAAATCGATGGCCACTATGTTCTAATGCCTTTGAAATCTCCTTCAACTGATCCTCGTCAAAGCTTCCCATGCTTCCAAAACACAAGAACACCACGGATGATGGAGGTTGATCATCAAGCCACTTCTTGATCTCCTCTTTCTCACGAGCCCTATCTAACCCTTTGTCACCTTCATCACGTTGGAGCCTCAAAATAGGCCCCACTGGGTATATCGGAAGGGTCAAGCCATCAAAAAATGAGCTCATTACATGGGATTCCAGCTCCAAGAAAGTGTTGACCACAACACCCATCGTTTGCTTATACTTTCTTGCAAAATTTAAGAAGCCAGGAACAACATCTTTGTTAAGAAACATAGAAGGCAAAACCCTAGCAGGAATTGGTTTTGCAAAACTTGATATCACCAACTCAGTATCCGAGTCTTTGAACTGGGTTGAGTCCACATTTTGCTCATCTTTCATGGTTTGCATAGAAAACAAGAGACTCAAATAACCTACACCTGAAGTGAAGAACACATAGCTGCGCAGTCCAAAATCATTGCCCACATCTACCATTGTTACACAGAACATATCAACCAGGAGACCGATGAGTCGAGGCGGCTTATCAGGGCTTGAGGTGGACGACTCAATGAGCTGAGCCAGAGCTTCTTTGACTAAAGGTTTGTACGTTTCCATGTAGAAAGCTAAAATGTCTTTTGCCTTCATATCTAAAGCTTGTTCAAGAAGAGGGAGGTCAAGGAACTTGATATTGTTAGAAATAGTTGACTCAGTGAGTGATTTGCAGTAGCTTGTGAACTTCTCATCAAAGGGTAGCTTCATCAAGATGATTGTCACTACGAATCGGTCGTCTCGATTGACAAGAAGCCGTGCCAACTCCACCGTTGATGTAACATGGCCGATACCTGGTGAAGGTATAAACACCAACTCTGATCTCTTCATTCAGAACAATAAATAGGACTATTAGTTGGATTCTTATTTGATTTCAATCCAAAGATTGAATATAATTATGGTGATGTTTATAGAAAAACAAGCAAGAAGTTAATACATATTTTGTCTCACCATCTATATTTTATCTAAATTCTTCAAAATTATCTTTATAGAATTGAAAAAAATAAATTAAATATATTTAAAAAAATAAAAAACTCAAATGATTTATTCTTTAAACTCAGTCTAGTACATAACTTGGTTTATAAATTGATTATATTAACCTGGATTGACCAAAATCAATTAAAGTGATATTATTTTAATTATTTTAATAATAAATTTCAGTTTTTATCAAGTTACGAGTCAATTCTAAAATGATATTTTTTTATAAAAAAACATGGCCTAATTTATGAGAATTTTTTATGATGATTTGGATATTGAGTCAACCTGTTAGACAGGACTAGATTTGATAATTATAAGTAAATTCAAACAAGTATTTTAGGGCAAACAAGAAATGATAATAAAATTATCTCAAAAACATTGTTTTTTTTTTTTTTAGCTTTATGGAATATAAACATGTCCGTGCATACATGGAAAAATAGAGTCCAAAAATAACTTACCTCCATTTTAGGTTTTGGAGTTCCACCTTGATAGTCTTGGGTTTTCATTGCTCAATAGCACAAGAAATTTTAATTACAGATCTCTTTGTTATGAATATGGAGTAAAGTTCCACATACTTATAGTTAATGTTCAATCTTAAATTTCATAAAAAAAACTCCACATGCTATTTAAGATTTCATTTTAAACTGACTTATGAGATTAATTAAGCTTCAGTTATGATCCTTACCCCATAAATAAAAGCATTGAGATTTTTAATTAGAGTTAAATGGTTAGTTTTTCAAATCTATATTGATCCATTAAATATATTAATTTTTGTTTATGTGAAAAAGGGTTAATTATCTTCAATTAGAATGTTCACTCATGTAATAATATCTTGTTTTCCAATAACATCTTGTTTTCCAAGGTTATGTAATCAAGGAGGTTGGCTTACTTTTTTAAGTTTTTGGATTCAAAATTTAAAATAATTTATTATCTTGAATTTATTAGACTACATGGTGTATTTTTAATATCATAAGAGAAAAAAACTTAATTTGAATTGACATGTAATTTTTATTATAAAATAAGAAAAAAATAAGTAAAGGCAAGTTGGCATAATTAAACCTAATGTTAAATTAAACAACTTAATTAACCTAACAATGAATATTCTAATTTCTTTCTAAAATAAGAGTTCTTACATCTTTTTTTCACAATGCAATTATCCATTTCTAGAGCCTTCAAAATTATGGCAAAAAAATTAGAAGAATCTTATTTAAAATCACAAAACACACAACTCATAATGGAAAGGTAACCTTAAAAACTGGTTTCGAAAATAAAGACCAAATCAAACCTTAGTAACTATTTATGTCAAAAACTAAAATGAAATCAAGCCTTCATTGTTATAATAATTTTATAGGTCGTTACTAGAGGATATAAAATGAATGGACAAGAAAGCTAGTAATAGTAAAGAAAACCGATTAGCCCCAATATTTATAGGCTAGATAGTGGCAACAGGTAGAGCCCTCGGCTAGCTTTTTTTGGCCTCTCTTATATTTTTCATCCTCGAATTCAAAACTATAAACTATTGCAATATGAAAAACAATTGTTAGAAAGTAATTGTATTTCAACGACCATCACAATTTATATGCCTAATAAATGATCATCTAGCCATTCTACAAGCAAGGAATAAAGGCCGAGAAAATAACTCTTTTCTTTTGTATAATGATATATTAATTAGAAAATATTAACGTGCCTATGATCTATGAAAGTCCTAGCCCTTGCTAGCACGTGGAAGGGTTAATTGATTAATACCTTTCAAAATCAGGAAAAACAAGATGTTGAGTTTGTCTTAAATTATAGATTCAAACGAGAAAACAAAATTCTCATGTATTGAGTCCACATATAAAAATTTAAATTTGTTATATTTTAGGGTTAAAACTTATTTGTAAGAACCAACATTCTTTATACTTTGAAGGCAAAAAAATAAAAAAAAAATATGGGTTACTTCGAGATCTTTAGGATCCCTAATAATATTTTGGATATTAACTTATTTTAGGTTTTTTTATCCTTAAATTAAGAGTGAATAATATTTTTTTCAAAAACAAATCTTTAATATTTTTGAAATATAGGCTAAAATATTTAAGAATTTTACAAACTTGTTGTAAAATCCATGCAATATCATTTTTTTAAAACATGCCAAAGTATTTTAGATTTTTTTTAAAAAAAAATGCTCAAATAATTTTTAGGATTTTGGCCTTATGCAAGGAAAAAAAACATATTTTTTTTTATTTTTTTATTGTTTTTTACTTTATTCATCAATTTTATTTTATTTTTTGTAATAAAATTACCAAAATAGGCTTGGAAGTGGGTTTGTCAAACAGAATCGTAAACCAAAAACCATTTAGGAAATAGATTGCAAGCCAAATAGGGTCTTAACCCGAACTAGATTTTGACCTGATCAAATTGATTTGACTGCGTCGACCTGAAATCTTTGGTCCAACCTTAAATTGAACCAAAAACTCTAGTTTGATTCAAAAACAACCAAAAACAAAACCAAACATATTAAACTTCCAAAAAACACAAAAATACAAAAAATATCCTAAACAAAATGGATCAAAATGCAAAAAGAAAAATGAAAAACACAAAGAATATTCATCCTAAATCCAACAACATAAATACTAATCCAAACAATATTTCATGAAATAAAAAGCACATAAAGGATATAAGTCAATCATTGAACAATAATAAAAAAAATAATTAAACATTGATGATTATCAACTAATAATCCCAATTTAATCAAAAAGGGTTTTAGTTCAAAATTAAAAGCTTAAAATTAAAAATTACTAAAAACATGTTATTAATGCATATAAAGCTTATATTATTGATTAATTAAGTTAGTTGAATGATTTAGTACATCAAAGCTGGTCCAAATAACAAGGTTAAGGTATTGTTTTTTTCAAGAACATGAAAAAATTGGACCCAACAACCTAAAAATTCCAAGCTTCTATTAAACTCAAAACTAGTCTTTTAAGCTTTTAAAACATGTTGATTTTCATCCTCATAAATCACATTATCAACACTAAACATAATTGAATCCAAAAAAATAATAAATAACATCAAATCATCAATATAATCTATAAAGTTTCATTTTCCAAGATTACCAAATTAAAAGAACGAACATATTTAATAATATGATATTAAAAATTAAAATCTTAACACTCAATACAACTTAACCAAAACCTAAGAATCCACAACATGCACTAACAAGCCCTGTTGTCTATCATATCTTGAATCAGATGACCTAACCAAGTGTACGAGGATCCATCATTCATCAAAGCCTTCCTGCTACTTTCGCTTATTTCCTTCAACTTCTCCCTTTTCTTGAGGTCAATCTCCATTAAACCCCGTATTCCTTTCTCTATTTCCTCAGCCCTAACAATTTGACAAGCATCCATTCTATAATTCACTTGAATTTCTGTTGCTAAGCCGAATTCAACAATCATTAGGAAAGCATTAAATTGCTGCTCAGCATACAATGGCCATGTAGCAATTGGAACATCAAACCAGATGCTTTCCAGCGTAGAATTCCACCCACAATGCGATACAAATCCTCCTATAGATGGGTGAGCCAAGATATCCACCTGCGGGGCCCATCCTATTATTTTTCCGATCTCGGATGTTCGATCTAAGAACCCTTCAGGCAAGACTTCTGCAGGATTCACATAATCACTCGGAGCTTCCATCTTGCCATTTGGTGGAGGTTGACGTAGAGACCATAAGAATCGGTGTCCACTTTGCTCCAATCCACATGCGATCTCTTTCACTTGCTCCACACCGAAACTTCCCAAACTCCCAAAACACAGGTAGACTACAGAAGATGAAGGCTGATGGTCAAGCCATTGCATGATATCCCTGTGAATATCTTTTCTATCTGACACCACATCATGTTCATGGCCATTGAGGTTCAAAAGGGGACCAACTGGATAAACAGGAGGATAATTACCATCAGAGAAAGAGTTGATCGTATGAGATTCCAGCTCGTAAAATGTATTTACCATAATTCCCTTGGCTTCTCTGAACCTTCTAACCAGGCGAAGAAAAAGAGGCAGCAAATCTTTGCCAAGTACCGAAGATGGTAAAACCTTTGCCGGAAAGGGACTCGCCAAACACGGCATGACCAATTCAACATCCGAGTTCTTGAACTCAGTAGGGTCAACTTTCAGCTCATCATGGAGAGCCTGAATATAGAACGTAGTACCAAGACAAGCTGCTGCAGATGTAAAGAAAATATAAGAGGGAACACCAAATTCACAGTACCAAGAAAAGCTGCTGCAGATGTAAAGAAAACATAAGAGGGAACACCAAATTCATTGGCCACATCTATGATTGATGTAGAAAACATATCAAGAACAAACCCAGCAAGTCGAGGCGAGTCAGGGCTTGACTCGGACTCAATCACAAGCTTAGAGACTTCTTCTTTGACATGAGGTTTTTGTGCTTCAATCAAAGAAATGAAAAACCTGCTGGATAGGTTTGGATCAAGCTCAACTTCAGGCAAGTGAATGAACCGGATACGACCGCAGGCTGCAATCACTGAATCATTGTAGCTACGAGCAATATTGGTGCTTAAACTTGATTTCATGACGAGGAAGGTGATTGAAAGCCTCTCATCACGTTCTACAAGGAGCTTGGCTACCTCTACTGCGGATACAAAGTGACCTATAATTGGTGCTGGAATGAAGACTAGCTCAGCGTTCTTCATTTTGCAGCAGGCTTCAATGAGTTTCCAAACAATACAACTTTTTTTTGTGGTTGTGAGAGACGTCTGGGTTTGAGCTTTGCATTGCATTTTATTTGGGAGTCATGCTAAGGTGCGATCCCGTTAATTACCAAACGTAGCCTAAAGTGAGGTCATGGCTTTGCTGTCATGCCCACCACTTACTATATACTGCCAACAACATTTGGACACTTGTCAAATTTGTTTTTCTCTGGACGGCAAGAGAGTATCCTGCTGAGTGGTTATTCTCGGATACAGGGGTTGTTTGGAGGAGTCGACGGTTATTTAAAGTATTTTTTTTAAAAAAATATATTAAATTAATATTTTTTATTTTTTATATTAATACATTAAAATAATTTAAAATATAAAAAATTAATTTTAAACAGAAAAAATAAAATTTTCAAGAAACACTTTTGGGAATACAATTCCAAAAATTTAACTACTAAGATCTTGTTTTGAAATTCCACAGCTTTTATTTTAGATATTTTAAAAAGTATATTTACTTTTAGATATTTTTAAAAGTTTAATTTCAGTAGTGGTAGCCCACTTAATCCACCAAAAAAAATAAAAAACTTTGATAACTTGTATGAAGTAACTAATTATATTAAAGATGATGTAATACTAAATTTATACCTTGCTAAATGTGATCCTATAGTATTTGAAAAAACAATAAAGGATGAAAAAATGAGAATTGTTATAGATGAGGAGATTGTATCAATTGAGAAAAATGACATATAAAAATTGGTTTCTAAACCAAAATGAAAAAAAACCAATAGGTGTCAAGTGGATCTATAAAGAAAAAAAAATGCCAAAGGAGAAGTGGAGAAGTAGGCAAAAAACTATAGTCAAAAGTATGAGATTAACTATAATGAAGTGTTTCCTCTAACTGTTAGATTAGAGACCATTTAATTAATCATTATCATAACTACCAAACATAGATAAAAAATCTATCAAAAGTATGTTAAATCAACTTTTCTAAATGTCTTTCTTGAAGTGGAGGTCTACATTGAGCAACTAATGGGTGATGAAGTCAAGGGACATAAAGATAAGGTTTTAAAGTTAAATAAAATCTTGTATGGATCAAAACATGCTTCAAGGGCTTGGTATAGTCACATTGATGGTTGTTTATTAAAGAATGGATTTGTAAAATGTCCCCATAAATATTCTATCTATGTAAAGATAAAAGAAATTGGTGATATTTTTATTACATGCTTGTATATAGATGACTTGATATTTATAAAAAATAATCCAAAAATATTAAGAGACTTCAAATAAGTAATGATCTAAGAGTTTGAGAAAATAGATATTGGTTTGATGACATATTATTTAAGGATTGAAGATGCACCTGTCCAAATATTCTTTTTGGAGTAAGACTTGTAAACAAGTTTATAGAGACACCAACCATGACACATTTCAAAACTTTAAAGTGAATTCTTTGATATATCAAATATATTACTAATTTTGGCTTGTTTTATGAATATTCTAATAGCTTTGAACTTGTGACTTATAGTAATAGTAATTAGGCTAAAGATATGTATGATAAAAAAAAAACATTATAGGTTTTGTTTTCTACATGGGAGACACAACATTTATAGATAGTTTAAAGAAGCAACCTATAATCACATTATCAACTTGTGAAGTTGAATATGTAGCTATTACAATATATGTTTATCATTCTATATAGTTAAGAAGATTATTGAAGAAATTGTGAATGTCATAAAAGAAGCCTATAAAAATTTATGTGGACAACTCATTAGTCATTACCTTAACAAGGGATCTAGTATTTCTTGAAAGAAGTAATCACATTGACATAAGATTTCATTACTTATAAGATTGCATTACAAACAACAAGATAAAGTTGGGTACATAAAAACCCAAAATCAAGTCCCAGACAATATCATTAAGCCAGCCAAACATGATATTTTTATCAAGATGAAAGACATGTTGGGAGATAAAAAAATAATAATAAAGTTTAGGAAGGGATTTTACAAGTAAACCAGGTTTTGATTCTTCTAAAAAATAGAGAAACTGGTATATCAGTTGAAAACTAGTCGACCAGTTGAATTAAATGAATCAATCAAATGATTATGTTGGTAAAATATGTTTACTATTCAAATTAAAATTTCCTTTAAGTAGTTTAATTCATTAGTTGTTTAGGACTTTAGGCCTAAAATAGGCTTTTAATTGAAAGTATAATTCAATGTGTATAGAGAGGAAGACACAAAACAAAAACACTTAATAAGATTATTTTGCTCTCAAATTTTTTTCTAGTTTTTTAGTTTTGCTTATTATTTTATTGTCTATAAACACTTACCACACCTATTTTCTTTCAACAGTAAGTAACCTAATTATCATCAGATGATTGGGCTTATTAATGGGTAAATAAATAAGTTGTATACATATAGGCAAAGTTGATGCGACACGTGAATCAAGGTAGTTGATGGTCATAGAGTCAAGAATTGGCTTGATTACAAGCATAGATATTAAGATTCAATTATCACGTTCAATAAAAAGCTTAGTAGTCTTCATTACTGATATAATATGACTTATACTAAGTAAAGGGATAAACATTATCTTTTCTTTCTTCATTTGCTATAAAATTTTGTTCACAAATATGTTATAATAATATGTTTATATAAATGGATATTTATATAGTATAGTATATGAAATAAATTAAAGTCTATATTTACGAGGAATAATGAGATAAGAAGTGTGGTTAAGAGATCATATAAAGCTAGTATATCTTGTACACGATGTGTATATACTATGTTTCGAGCTGATTTGATAAGAATAAAATATTCTTATAATTCTCTATTGAGACGACATGCTATGAAAAAAAATTATTGTCATCCAACAAATCTACTTACAATTTGGGTCTAACCTAAAAAATGTTGCATCATTAAGCTAATTAAAAAAACCAAAATGAAAATGTGGCATGTAATGACCAACCTTTTAGCTCTAAACAAATTAGAATGGAATTAAAAAACTCGATCCAACATTGATCGATAACAAACTAGGCTCATTAAGCAAGTCATGCTTTAATAGACTATTGGGTTAACCTCACTCCAATTCAAGAAAGAAAAGTATATTTTTTTATTAAAAAAATTCATAAAGATTACTCCAACCTCTAACGTACTAATACATGGTAATAACTAGTACATTTATTATCTTTGTCTGGTTACTATAACTTCTTTTTCTTTTTATTAATATCTCCAATCCTTTTTGTTTTTCTTTGAAGATATCTTTATGCACTTTTTACTTATTAAGTGGAATTATAGTAATTTATATTTTTTTCATGACTTATTTATATATTTTTTTAGTTAGTTTGGATATATATATATATATATAGTAATTTTTTTAATTATTTTTCACATATTAGGACTAAATCCCTAGAATCAACATCATTCACGTAAAAACATCTACCTTAATTAAAGTTGATACAAACCACTTTCTACGTCAATTTTTTTTCATGAAGTTCACAACTTTTGTTACGACTTAAATTTTGGATATATGATCAGCAATGCAAAATTAGTGTTATTAGAACACTCCACCTATGTTAAACCTCAAATATACTTCTCGTGAACCAAATTATATAAAAAATTTAAGCATTTCATAAACTTTCAAAATACTCTATAAACCAATAAAATCAAATAATACTTCATAACACTTATTACAATACAAAAATTCAAATTTTAAATGAAATAGTATAACAGTGAAGCATCTAAGACATTGAATAAAAAAGAATAAGAAGAAAAGCCTCGCGTAAGCAAAAAAAGTATACCTATAAAGAAAGCAATAAAAACTCTTAATAAAATTAAGCCACTAACAAAAGTTAAGAACCTAAAAATAATATTAATAAAGAGGAGTGAGCTCAACCAACTCAGTAAATAAATAATATTTAATATACATCATAGATATAATAGAAGAATAAAAATAATAAATAGATATATATATACACACACACAAAGCATATTAGCATATGGTTATGATAACATATGAGGGTTGTGACCACGATTAATTTGGACGGACCAATCCTTATAAGTTGGTGTCTTTCTCATCAGCTAGGTGTGTAGACTATCATGCGCATATAAACTAACTACCCTTTGTTAATATAGAGTTTCTAACAAGTATCTCGACATCAAACCATAATAGATAATCATATAATTATCAAAGCAAATAAATAGCATATCAAATACATTTAATTCAAAAAAATATGAATGCAAATTTAAGAATCGATGAGTACTTCAAAAATAAAGCAACGTATATAGATATTCAACAAATAACTAGTTGTACTTATCATATAATTAATATATTCATATTTATATTACATGCATATTAAAGATTATTTCACTTACTTGGAAAACAAAAGCAAAAGATAAACATATATAGAATTGGAGATTATAAAAGATCGTTAGGAGAAATATCAACAAAACCTATAATGAATACAAAACATAAAATTAAAATCAAAGCAAATAACATAAAAGATTTCAACTCTAATATTAGAGACCAAAATGTAATTATAAAATCAAAATAGATCAACTCGATCGATCATGAACATCTCTCAAACTGAAAAGAACTAATCAACCCCTACTACTTAGTAACCGGTCAGTCAAGACTATCAAGTGAACTAGTCAATCAGAATTGACCAACCAGTCAATCAGAACCATTAAGTTAATCATTCGACCAATTCAGTCCAACCGACTAACTAGTTTATCAAGATTACATAATCTAGATCTACTAGTCTTTCAAATTGTAAATCTTAAAAATAATTAGGATATTCCTTAAAAACCTAAAATTTCTGACCTCATATCAAATGATTTAAGCCAAACTAACACTTAAAACATTAATTAAATATCTTAAATAATTCAAACCCTAAAATCAAAGTTAACTAATATATTTAAGCACAAAAAAAACATCAATATCTGACCTTAGAAACCCTTAACTCTAACTTTCACTTCTTTTGTGTTTTTCCTCTTTCTTCCTCTTTTACTTTCCTTTTTCCTCTCTTTCTCTTTTACTGTTCTCATTTAAGAAATTATGCTCCCCTCCTCTTTGTTTTTTTAACTTTCTATTTATATTTATCAAACATATAAAAATACCTAAAATGGCCCTCAATTATTTATACCCTTAACTACCCATCAAAAGGTATAAATACATTTTTTAGTGTCTTTGGCAACGTTTCATAAATTGGTTGGGTATTGGTTGGTACATGTCGGAGTCTATTAATCAAGTTCTTTTGCAATAGAATGATCTAGTAAAAGATAGATTCCAACGACAAGCACTTGTTATGTTGTTTTATGGGATTTTATGGAACATTTGGAATGCGGGAAACAAACTAGTTTTTAAGCATATTATGCAAGTTTAGAATACAATGTTTGAGCTTATTCTTCATCATTTATCTCTTTGGTTGAAGGTTATGGATGCAAATTTCTTATATACTAGGAATGATTTATTTAGAATTTCGGATGGCGTTTTGAAGTAGACAAATAAGTGATGACCCAATATTTTTACATTTGAATTTTTTTTGTGCATATTTTTTGCATTCTTCTTTTTTATCTTTGTAAATCAATGCTTTTACTAGTATTTTTTTGCATAATTTTATTGTAACCGGGATACCATTGTCTCAATGATAGACAGATCTTTCAAATAAAACACTTTGACTGCTAAAAAAAAAAAACCTTTTCCAAACCAAAAGTTTCAGTATATTACAACTTCACTCTGTTTCATCCATGCTTGTTTATATTTCTCTTGAAAAACTTTAAGCCATGACAAGGTGAATAACTTAACTTCGATTCATGCACCTATTTTGCTCTACTTTTGCTTCAATAAGGCTGAAAATTATAAGTAAAATATAGATGAGAAAGATATTGGTCAAACAAAATAGATGTGTTATGTTAGATTCCGTCAAAGAATATCTTCAAGTTTTTATCCAATTTCCTTCATTTTCTCTTATTAATTGAATAATGTTGTATAATAAGGATGACTTAAAAAACTACTTAATATAAGTAAATATTCAATTACAATTTTTTGTTAATGATCAACCCACTGCACTAAGCCGAAGTGGAGTGTGCTTGGGAAAGCATTTTCAATATACCCTTTTCTACTATGCTTTGAGTTGCTTCCTATAATGAGAAGACTTTTTCTTAGTCTATTTATATTGAATACATAAATATATAGCAAGGATTTACTTGGTGCTCACTCTAGCTCCTAACTTATTTAGAAATTAGTATATCAAAAAATTAACTTGAACATTATAGTTCCATTTTGGTCAATTTCATTAGTAATGACTTAATTTTGAGCCCGATTGAATCCATTACACCCTTCGCCTTCTTCAATTTTAAACTCCACTTGACCGGTGTCCAAGTGAAAGCTCATCTGATCATTGCCATCTTGCTAGGATGTTCAAGTGATTGAATCTAAATGCAGTAGTCAATTAGGCCTTTTTGACCCACATTTACATGAACTTGGTTGTAAATTTATTTTTCAATGCAAAAACATGATGGGAATTTTTATTTTTTTACAAGGAAAAATTTATTGGCCATGACTAAACATTCTTGTTACACCAAGTCTTACATAAATCTTAAATTAAGGATAAGGATCTTGTAAGAAAATTGCTTAGACTAAAGTTCGGAATTTGGATCAATTGATTCATGACAGGTTTTCTATTATATTATCAATAAAACGACCCAAAGAAGAATGCGAAGATCCACCAGGCATTAACGTTTTTTCACTTATTCTGCTCATCTCCTTTACCTTCTTTCTTATTTCTTTATCTTCCTCCATAATATGTTTTATTGCTTTCATTATATCATCAGCATTTACAATTATTTCATCATCTCCTTGAAGATTCATCGTATAGTCCATCTTAATTTCCACCCCTAACCCCAACTCAATCACCATGTAAAAGGCATTAAATTGTTGCTCAGCATACAATGGCCAAGTGGCAATTGGAACACCAAACCATACGCTCTCTAGTATAGAATTCCATCCACAATGTGATGCAAATCCTCCCACGGCTTGATGGGCCAAAATATCCACTTGTGGAGCCCATCCAATCACCTTCCCGATCTTGGCTGTTCGATCTAAAAACCCTTCTGGTAAAACTTCTTGAAGATTCTCATAATCACTCGGAGGTTTCAATTTACCACTCGGTGAAGGTTTACGTAGGGACCATAAGAATCGATGTCCACTACGTTCTAGTGCACAAGCGATCTCTTTCACCTGTTCTGACCTAAAACTTCCTCGACTCCCAAAGCACAAAAACAGAACCGATGATGGAGCCTGATCATCAAGCCATTGCATGATGTCCCTATAATTCTTGCTCCCATCTGACCCCAGATCACGACCATCTCCTTCATGTTTAACAATTGGTCCCACTGGATACACTGGTGGGGTCTTGCCATTGGAAAGACTGTTAACAACATGCGGTTCAAGCTCTAAAAATGTATTTATCAAAATACCTTTGGCTTCCGTCAAACCTCCTGCAATCTCCAGAACAATAGGGAGCGTCTCTTTTTCGAGTGACGATAAAGGCAAGCATTTAACAGGAAATGAGTTCGCCAAGCTCGGAATTTCCAACTCAACATCCGAGTTTCCGAGCTCAGTGATGTCCACTCCCTGCTCATCATGAAGAACCTTGAGATGTAACACGCAACCAAGATAAGCAGCGTCCGAGGCACAGAAAGCGTACCATGGAACATCAAATTCATTCGCCAGATCTTTCAGTCCTGTAGCATACGCATCAAAAATAAACCCGGCAAACTGAGGAGAGTCAGGGCTCAACTCGGACTGAGTTTTGATCTTGGAAACATATTCTCTGACAAGGGGTTTTTGGCCTTCATACACGGAAGTTATAAACTGGTTACGGGGTTTAGTATCTGATGATTCAGCACTGGGCAGGATAATGACTCGCAGACGATCAGGGAGTGTTGATGCAGCAAGTGACTCGTTGTAGTTGGTAGTGATGGGGTTACGAGGTGGATATATGAAGATAGTAGTGGAAAGGCGATCATCACGCTGAACAAGAAGCTTAGCTATCTCTACTGCTGAAACAATATGGCCCCGAGCAGGTATTGGGATTAACACCAACTCTGCTTTCTTCATTTCCTTGCTAGATGTTTTTGCTCTAAGGAGTTCTAACAGTGAACCAATGTGTGGTTAACTGATCAATATGCGAGGAACCGGTCCTGATCTTGTCGGAAATATAAATACTGATGGCCTAGAATTAGAGTGATGTCATGGCTTTGCTGGCAGTGAACCATATTCATTATTGATAGAAAAGGGCTCCTGTCGTTAGTCCAAAGGAACAGCAGTGTACTTGCAACTTTGTCACCTTTTTCTAATATAAATACTCTCCCACACTGTGGAACCCAAACCTTGTCTTGTAACCATGCTTTAATCCTATAGGTTTTGTTAAAATATTTGTGACAAGTTTTGTTAGATTTATTGAGCCTCTATTGGCTGAGACCTAATAAACTATACAAGGAAAACATTAAAAACATAAAAATAACAGAAACATTAAAAAAATTTGGGAATTTAAAAACTTTTGGGAAATGAAATTACGATTTGTAATTTTGAAATATTATGCATGTGAATTATTTTTTTCTTGAGAACTAATTTCATATTATGAATTCTTATTATTTACAACTTTCCATACAATTCAAACCATACACAATCCCATCAGATACAGAAACTTTGAACTTCTAACCTCCAAAAAGAAAACAATGGATATAAGAGTTTCTAAATAATCCAGAGTCCAGACAGAAGGGAAAAACAAAACAAAACCCTGATATTTTCTTAGGTGCTTTCTTCGAAAGCACAAGTCAGGCTAAAAGAATCCCATCAAACTGGCTAGCATTTTTAGATTCAAGTGACAAGTAGTAGTCGAAGATAATTTACTTTAATTTCTATACAAACTTTTGGGTTTTTTTTCTATTTTTTAAAGTGTTTTTGAAAAAAAAATAAAAAAATTATGGAATTAGAGATATATTTTGAATATTTCTAAATTATTTTGATATATTAATGTTAAAAATAACTTTAAAAAATATTATTAATAGATATTTTAATACAAAAACTTATTTAAAACACTACCAAACCAGTAATCTTGAATATGCCAGAGAAGGTGCGCTCCTGAAATAATTCAGCAGCGGTAGATATCCAATCCAACAATCACGCTCTTTCTTTCGAGTTTCTCTAGTCTTGCTTCCTTGTCAACTTCTGATCCATCAATCATGGTGGTCCACGAGGAAGATTATCATAATATTCCCAGCTTTTAATATATTATCAGCGCTCACAATTATTCAGTATAGAAATTCACCGAGTGAATACAAATTAATTATTTTTATTAAAATAATTGCGTTATTTTTTAAAAAATATTGACCTCATCGTGGATGTTTAGCGGGGTTAAACTACCAGAATTAGGCTCTAAATCATATGGATCATCGACTCATCGGGATAGACTAAGTTTAATGACTATGCATACAAACCCTTCTAATTTCCACAATTAACTCTAATTCAATCACCATCTGAAAAGCATCAAATTCAATCACATATGGCTGGATGTGTCGAGACGTCTACTTGTGGAGCCATCCACGTACCGTCCCAATTTTTTTTAAAAAAACAAAACCTTTAAATAAAATGCCTAAAACACTTTCATAATCACGTTTGATTAAATGTTGGAAAGGAAAAGACAGGCTGACGGTGGTCCGGTAATCCAATAATAACACTGTTCTTAATCTATCTCACAACAGCAACGGCAACGGCAACGGCAGGTTTATCTTTAATTATCTATAAATTTACTGGAGAAAGTCTTACCTTAGTCTTCTTTTCCAGTTTTATTCAACTGTATTTTCGAAAAAATTTAAAATCTTTCCTTTCTTTCAAGACATGATGATTAGATCTAGCTATAGGCGCATGTACAAAACAAAACAAAATGGTCTCCATCCTAATTTCTAACACATGAAATTGAGAATTTTTTAAAAAAAAAAATCAGCACATTAAAAAAATTTAAAATTAGCATTGGTGATTTTTTTTTTTTTGGAAAAGAGTATGTTTCAGTAAAAACCACAGTTTTCAAGCATATTATTTTAAAATACCGTACTTAAAAACTATGATTTTAGTAAATTATATTATTTTTGAAATATTTTTTTATTGCTAATGCTAGTTTGAAAAAAAAAATCAAGCCACGCAAAAAAAAAAAACACCAAGATATATATACTTGATAAAAGAGAATTTTTACAAGAATCTTATACTTGGAATTTGAGTATTTTTTTATGTTGATATACAATATGTTTATTTTTATATTTTTAATTTATATTAGATATTCTAATATTAAAAATATTTTAAAAAAATATCACCAAGATATATATGCTTTGATTAAAAAAAAACTTTTATAAGAATCTTATACTTGGAATTTGAGAACTTTTTTATGTTAATATACAATCTATTTTATTTTTATGTTTTTAGTTTATTTAAATACTCTAATATTTAAAATATTTTAAAAATTTTCAATCCCGGATAGTCAGTTCTCTATGGTATTAAAACTTTATTTGGGATTAGATACAGATAATGGATTGGTTAATTCTAATTTTTATTTTTTAAAAATTAAAATAATATTATTTTTATAAATGTTTTATAAAATTTTTTAATAGGTTGATGATTGGATTTTGATTGAGTCTAGTACATCAACTAGTCAACCCAAGTTTTTACTAGCTTAGCTAAAAAAAAATTATTTTTTTATTTTTTTTAACTTGAATCAATTCATATTTTAAGTTGATTTTAAGTTGATTTAGTTTTGAATTAACTTATTAAATTATACTGAGCTGTACAGCTATAGATTTTTCACTAAATGGACCATAGTAATCACTTATGAAAATATATATATATCAATTTTATTAAATAAGAATCTTGAATCAGATGACCTAACCAAGTGTACGAGGATCCATCATTCATCAAAGCCTTCCTACTACTTTCGCTTATTTCCTTCAACTTCTCCCTTTTCTTGAGGTCAATCTCCATTAAACCCCGTATTCCTTTCTCTATTTCCTCAGCCCTAACAATTTGACAAGCATCCATTCTATAATTCACTTGAATTTCTGTTGCTAAGCCGAATTCAACAATCATTAGGAAAGCATTAAATTGCTGCTCAGCATACAATGGCCAAGAACGGGTGCTAGTACAAGACAAGTCAGCAAAGTGAATATTCAATTAATTCTTGGCGTGTTTTTTTTTTTTCCATTCCCCATGTGCGTTTTCTTTATATATATATATATATATTAAAATTATATATTACTACCCTGCTTTTTTTATTTTTTTTATTTTTTAAAATTATTTATATAGTTTTTTCTTGAAAATATTATAAATTATAATAATTTTTTTATATAATTTTTTATATTTTTTTATAAGTCTCTAAAAACATACAAACATGTCACAAACCGGCATCAGTGCACCAGCATGGCATCTAGTCTACTCTAAGACTACGGAAAGAATGTTGTATTTACTCATGCTAGGTTGACGGCGATACCGAAGAGGCCAAAAAGGGACCTCCGAGCCCGCTCACAATGGAGAAAACATGCTGGTATCGTCATGTGCTGGTTGTTAAATTGAACCCATTTCTGGCTCCACTCCAAGCTATTTGTGCTATCTAATTTTGCGAGCAGGTTCAACGTGCTATCTAATTTTTATATATTATTTTTATATATTACTAAATACAAAATACCTTAAAAAATAACAATTATCATATTTTCCAAACACCATCTTAATTTAATGTCGGCAGACTGCTTCTTTCCCTGCTGTTCATCCCATTTCTTTACATTTGCCTGCTCTTCATAGGCATAATGTTTATCTATCTTTGTTATGAATAGGGTGTACAGTTCCAGGTACTTATAGTTAAGGTTTAATTTTAAACTTCATAAAAAACTCCACATACTATTTAAAATTTAATTTTAAACTTACTTATAAGATTAATTAAGCTTCAGTTATGATCATTACCACGTATATGGAAACATTACAATTTTTAATTAAAGTTAAATTGTTAGTTTTTCAAATCCATATTAATCCATCAAATTTATTGATCTTTGTTTATGTCAAAAAAGGATTAATTATCTTTAATTAAAATGTTCACTCATGTAACAACATCTTGTTTTCTAGGGTTGTGTGATCAAGGAGGTTGGCTTACTTTTTTAATTTTTTGGATTTAAATTTTAAAATAATTTATTATCTTGAATTTATTAGACTACATGGTGTATTTTTAATATCATAAGAGAAAAAAAATTAATTTTAATTGACATGTAATTTTTATTATATAATAAGAAAAAAATAAGTAAAGGTGAGTTGGCATAATTAAATCTAATGTTAAATCAAACAACTTAATTAATCTAACAATGAATATTCTAATTTCTTTCTAAAATAAGAGTTCTTACATCTTTTTTTTACAATGTAATTATTCATTTCTAGAGTCTTTAAAATTATGACAAGGAAATTGAAAAAAAACTTGTTTCAGAATCACAAAACACACAACTCATAATGGAAGACTAATTTTAAAAATTGGTTCCGTAAATAAAGACCAAATCAAACCTTAGTAACCACTTAGATTCAAGACTGAAATAAAATCAAGCCTTCATTGTTGTAACAATTTTATAGGTCGTTATCAGAGGATTTAAAATGAATGGACAAGAAGGCTAGTAAAAGTAAAGAAAACTTATCAGCCCCGATATCTATAGGCCAGATAGTGGCACCAAGCAGAGTCCTCAACTAGCTTCTTCAATCGCTCTTATATTTTTTATCCTTGAATTCAAAGCCATAAACTACTACAATATGAAAAAAAAATTATTAAAAAGTAATTATATTTCAACAACCATCACATTTTATATGCCTAATAGATGATCATCTAGTCATTCTACAATGGCCGAGAAAATATCTCTTTTCTTTTGCATAATGATATCTTAATTAAAAAATATTAATGTGCCCATGATCTATGAAAGTCCTAGCCCTAGCCAGCACGTGGAAGGGTATGTCCATACTATTTAATGAATTTATTTAAAACTATGCTCATTAATACAGTTCAAACTATATGTGGCTTGAAAAAAAAATGACGTTTTTTTAAGTCAAACACAATTTAATACATGACATTATCATACATGTAGATAAACATATATTTATAACAAGGGTTAATTAATTAATACCTTTCAAAATCAAGCAAAAACATATGTTGAGTTTGTCCTATTGAATCGAGAAAATAAAATACTCATGCACTTATTCTATAGATAAAAGTTTAAAGTTGTTATATTTGAGGGTTAAAACTTATTTGTAAGAGTCAACATTCTCTATACTTTGAAGGCTAAAAAAAAAAAAGAAAATATGAGTTTTGGGTTATTTCGAGATCTTTAAGATCCCTAATAATATTTTGGATATTAACCCCTTTTAGGCTTTTTTATTCTTAGATTGAGAGTTAATAATATTTTTTTTCAAAAATAAAATTTTAATATTTTTGAAATATAGGCCAAAATATTTAAGAATTTTACAAACTTGTAAAATCCATGCAATATCATTTTTTTTTTTAACATGCCAAAATATTTTAGATTTTTTTAAAAGAAATGCTCAAATAATTTTAAGGATTTTTGGCCCAAAAAAACATATTTTTTATTGTTTTTTTACTTTGTTTGTTAACTAGAAGTGGGTTTGTCAAACAGAATTATAAACCAAAAACCATTTAGCAAAAAGATTGTAAGTCAAATAGGGTCTTAACCCGGACCTGATTTTGACCCGACCAAGTTGACTCAACTAGGTTGACCTGAAATCTTTGGTCCAACCTTAAACTGAACCAAAAACTCTGGTTTGATCCGAAAAAAACCAAAAACAAAACCAAAGCCAAACATATTAAACTTTTAAAAACCATAAAAATACAAAAATATCCTAAACAAAATGGATCAAAATGCAAAAAGAAAAACGAAAAACATGAAGAATATTCATCCTAAACTCAACAGCATAAATACTAATCAAGACAATATTTAATGAAATAAAAGGCATATAAAGGATATAAGTCAATTATTGAACAATAATTAAAAAATTAAACATTAATGATTATCAACTAATAATCCTAATTTGATCGAAAAGGGTTTTAGTTTAAAATCGAAAGCCTATGATTAAAAATTACTAAAAACATGTTATTAATACAAATAAAGCTTATATTATTGACTAATTAAGTTAGTTGAATGATTTAGTACACCAAAGCTGGTCCAAATGATAGGGCTAAGGTATTGTTCTTTTCAAGAACATGAAGAAACTGAACCCAACAATCTAAAAATTCTAAGCTTTCATTAAACCCAAAATTAGCCTCTTAGGCTTCTAAAACATGTTGATTTTGGTGCTCACAAATCATATTATTAATAATAAATATAGTTGAATCCAAAGAATTAATAAATAACATCAAATTATCAATATAATGCATGAAGTTTTAATTTTCAAGATAGTCAAATTAAAACAATAGACATGTTTAATAATGTGGAATTCAAAATTGAAATCTTTACACTCAATAAAGCTTAACCAAAACCTTGAAATCCATAACATGCACTAACAAGCCTTAAAAAGACATTAAATACCTACTGATAGAATACAGAATCCGTTTTATTTTATCAAAATCAGTCTCAAATATATTGTCTTAGTATGTAATAGCATTAATAACTTTAAGCAAGACTTAAACAATAATGACAATATTTTACGTACTAATTAAAACCAAAACCATAATCAATACAATAAAAAAAAAAGCTTGGAAACATTATTAAACATGCATGAACAAGTTAGAGATGTGCCTCATGGATATTATCTACTAGATTAAGTTAATGTTTTATATCTTCTAAACTCTAACAATGGTTGTTGTCCTTTCTTTTTCAAGATGGCTACTTTCTCTCAAAGTTAAAGAGATCTGGTGCTAAGTTTTTGAACCTTCACATTTAGGTTTTCATTATCAAATATTTTTCTTTCCCTTTTTGTTTCTCTCATATTATTTTTTATCTTGATTTGTCAAGGGTTATTTATAAGGTTTCAAGTTAAGAGTTTTGTGGGTTTAATAAAAAAAAAAATTGATCCTATTTCCTTAAAGTTTGGCTCTCTAATTAAAATGGAAGATTTTTAAGTACGTTTATAGTTGTAAGCTTTGTACCATTATTGGTTTTACAATGGTAGTTTTGCACCAAACTTATTTTGGATATTTTAGTGGTTTTCCCAAACTTGTAAACCAATAAGCTTGGTTCTAGCCTTTTAATCTTGAGAGAAATGTGATCAACTTCTGATAAGAACCCACTAACAAGGCTTCAAGTATGAACATGAGAAAAAAATTAGTGGTTTTGAGAAATGAGTATCACAACTATTGATAACTGAGTTACGCAATTGCAAGGCTTTGTTAAAGCAAGTCCGACATCATTATCATTGAAAATCACTTAAAGTTGGTTGAGGAGGTGCATATCTTTCATTTGGATCCAACCTTGATCAATTTAAAGGTATGTAGCTTCATATTCATTAGTTTAAAATTGTCAACTCGATCAGCCTAGAATCTTAAAACACAGTGATGGCTAATTGGAGACAAGATGTTATTGAGTTCTTTGAAGAAAATAAAATGTAAATGTTTGATGGGAATACCTAATCTTTGTAGAGAATGTGTTTCTTAGTTGAATAATGGTGGTTACAGCCTAGAGCTAGTTTGGGAACATCACTTCCATTCGCCTAAAGGTACTTACTCGATTAGCCAAAATTACCGAATAAAAAGCTAAACAGTGGTCAAATGAAATGTTGTCATGATTAAACCCTAAAATTAGAGTTGTTTTAATTTCATATTTGAAAAACTTCATTTTAGTCCTTATTAGTTCAATTTCTTTTAATTGTACTCATAATTGCCTCTCCAACTTTTAATTTCATGTAACTTCACTGCTGCCAAACTCAATTATCAACCTTAAAGTTCAACGTCTTTTTCATCTTGACTCTTGGTTTCTGATTTGTGTATTTTAACCCTCCAGTGATTATCAACCTTTTAATTATCTTTAATTTGACCTCTAATTTGATCAATTTTAAAACCTATATTTATGCGTCTTTTTTTGTTTTGGTCCTTACTTTTGGATTTCTTCAATCATATCCCTAATTACTTATCAAACTTCAATATTTAGATAATTAGGTTTCTGATTTGATCAAATTGACTCTTTAATATTACAATTTGACATTCAGACTTTAATTTCTTTTAATTAAAACCTAAATTGACTTGAAAATCAACCCTTCCTCTAATTAATCCCTTAATAAATTCAATTAAAGCTTGAAAAATTCTAATTGAGTCCTTAAACATTCAATTCTAATCGACTCATTTGATTGATTTTTCCTAACTAATAAAGGCTTCATCAGTCTAAAATTATCACATTCTCAATTTTTGATATTTTGATCCTCTTTAACCAATATTTGGCAATTTCTTGGGTGTTTCAATATATTTTTCTTATTGATATATTGTTTTTATTTTTTCACAAATTTCTATGTTTTTTGTATTTTGTATATTTACGTGGGATCCCAAAATAAATAATAATAAATTAATAAAGCCAATGTCTTGGCAATTCAAAAAGCTATGCTTTTAGGTATTGACTAGTGCTATGCTTCTACAAATCAATGCGTTATGGAGTAAGATTCTTGCAATACCATTACTTGGATTAAAGGAAAAAAAAATGTTATGTTGCCTTAACACTTGTAAACTGAGTTTAATGATATTACCAAAGCTTGTAATAAGCTTTCTTCTGTGTGTTTGAACATGTTAATAGAAAGAATAATCAGTTTTTAAAAATGATGATTTGGATGTCTGATTATAGTTTTTTTTTTTTCTTATTCAAGGTCCCTTATGCTTGATTATGATTATGGGGTTTAGTTTTATAAGTAAATTTTCTTGCTCCTTTAAATATTTTTACTACTCTGTTCTCTGTTCTCTGTTAAGCTATATTTTGAATGGTCATAATAGTTGATTAATAAATCTCTAATATTTTATATATATAAAAAAAACTCGCGTATGCTAATAAGAAAATAGGCGACCAAACTAGATCAACAAATGTTATTTATTAGATAATGTGAACAGCAAGTACATTTTACTCATGCTATGTTGTCTATCATATCTTGAATCAGATGACCTAACCAAGTGTACGAGGATCCATCATTCATCAAAGCCTTCCTACTACTTTCGCTTATTTCCTTCAACTTCTCCCTTTTCTTGAGGTCAATCTCCATTAAACCCCGTATTCCTTTCTCTATTTCCTCAGCCCTAACAATTTGACAAGCATCCATTCTATAATTCATTTGAATTTCTGTTGCTAAGCCGAATTCAACAATCATTAGGAAAGCATTAAATTGCTGCTCAGCATACAATGGCCATGTAGCAATTGGAACATCAAACCAGATGCTTTCCAGCGTAGAATTCCACCCACAATGCGATACAAATCCTCCTATAGATGGGTGAGCCAAGATATCCACCTGCGGGGCCCATCCTATTATTTTTCCGATCTCGGATGTTCGATCTAAGAACCCTTCAGGCAAGACTTCTGCAGGATTCACATAATCACTCGGAGCTTCCATCTTGCCATTTGGTGGAGGTTGACGTAGAGACCATAAGAATCGGTGTCCACTTTGCTCCAATCCACATGCGATCTCTTTCACTTGCTCCACACCGAAACTTCCCAAACTCCCAAAACACAGGTAGACTACAGAAGATGAAGGCTGATGGTCAAGCCATTGCATGATATCCCTGTGAATATCTTTTCTATCTGACAGCTCATCATGTTCATGGCCATTGAGGTTCAAAAGGGGACCAACTGGATAAACAGGAGGATAATTACCATCAGAGAAAGAGTTGATCGTATGAGATTCCAGCTCGTAAAATGTATTTACCATAATTCCCTTGGCTTCTCTGAACCTTCTAACCAGGCGAAGAAAAAGAGGCAGCAAATCTTTGCCAAGTACCGAAGATGGTAAAACCTTTGCTGGAAAGGGACTCGCCAAACACGGCATGACCAATTCAACATCCGAGTTCTTGAACTCAGTAGGGTCAACTTTCAGCTCATCATGGAGAGCCTGAATATAGAACGTAGTACCAAGACAAGCTGCTGCAGATGTAAAGAAAATATAAGAGGGAACACCAAATTCATTGGCCTCATCTATGATTGATGTAGAAAACATATCAAGAACAAACCCAGCAAGTCGAGGCGAGTCAGGGCTTGACTCGGACTCAATCAC